TTAGTATCGCGGTCATATTCCATGTTCATCATAAAAATACTTCACGACAAACAATATACATGAAAGTAATGTTGTTATGATATACATGAAACACTTTTTGTTTCATTTAACGTCTCAGGTTTATTATTTACTAGTCACATCAATTATTTCTTCATTGCTTATTTTTTTAATATTATTTTATAATTTTTAAACTATTTTCTATTTAATAATATTTTTATGTGTCGTTTGGTTCACAAGAATCTTAGATTACTGTTTTTTTTTTGAAGGAAAAAGGATTTTATTCAAACTTAAGATATGAATTGTTCAATACATGAAGGAACAGTAGAAAACCAAGACATATGGCCAGAATGAGAACTAGCAGCTCGAGTCAAAGCATGAGCGCATTTGTTCGCTGATCGAGAGATAAACTCAATAGACACTGTTTCAAAGTGTCGTTTCAGAACCCGACATTGATTAATAATATTGCCTGTGTAGGAGTTATCCGGGAGATTTTGATTCAGAAACCTGTACACCATCTGACAATCTGAGCGTATAATTACCTTGTTCCAACCTTGAGAGATGGTCCAAGATAGAGCTTCCTTGATAGCCATGGCTTCAGCAAGGTGTGGATCCTTTAGACAACGAATGGGGCCACTCTTTGCCGCGACAAAACCACCATCATCCGACGAAACCACAACACCATAGTATCCAAAATCATCATTTTGCTGGACAGCCGCATCAACCTCCACCAGCCAAGTCGAAGGGGCCGGGAATAGCAGAGCTAGTGTTTGGCGTTGCATGGTGACTAATACTGAGTCCGGAGCTTATAGCAGTGGGTTGCCATTCCAGTATACTGCTTTCTACCCATTTCTTTAACATTTCCATAGTCCATTGCTTTCTATTCCACACCCAATCGTTTCTCATTTTCCACACACACCAACATATCGCTAAGCATTTGTACAGCTTGTCTTTACTCGGTTGCTCAAATAGTGAGGAAAGCCACATCTCAAAACCCACCTGAGCAGTTGTAGAGTAGTCCAGCGTGCCAAGCCAAATCTCCTTCACTTTTGGACATTCAAAAAACAGGTGGTTCATGGTTTCAGGACTATTAAGGCAAATGGGACAGTGAGTATCCACATCAATGCCCCTAGCAACTAGAGTAACAACAATAGGCAAAACATTCCTAGCACATCGCCATGCAAAGTTCAAGATTTTTGGAGGAAGCTTTGATTTCCATAAGGCCCTCCAGGCAGTGAAGGCAGAATTCGTTGGCAACCCATTTTCCATAAGGAGTCTGTATCCCTGCTTGACAGAGTAAATTCCTCGAAGGTCATTTCGCCAACTCCACGTATCCGCAAAGTCTATTGAGATGGGTATCGACTTGATCAGATTAACATCACGAGGGAGAAAGAGATCACGAAGTAAATCTGTATCCCAATCTCCAGTGGTCGAATTAATAAGGGAATTGACTACTGCCTCTTCATGCACAGCCGAAATTGGAGTTTGAATGTATGGATGATCCCTGTCCGGCAGCCAAGGATAGTGCCAAATTTTTGTTGTTCTGCCATCACCAATGCGACGAAAGCAGCCACGCCTCAACACATCCATGCCTGCAAGAATCGAGCGCCAACAATAGCTAGGATTAGATCCCAGTCTAGCCTCCAAGAAGTTTGTGTCATTAAAATAACGGGCTTTATAGAGTCGGGAAACAATAGAGTTAGGATTACACAGCATTCTCCAACCCTGCTTCGCCAACAACGCAATATTAAATTTGTTGAGGTTCTTAAATCCTAAACCACCCTCAGATTTTGGAGAAGCCATGCGGTTCCAAGCTAACCAGCGCACACCACCCTCAGATTTAGAAAGCCACCAATATTTATTCATCAACCGCTCAATATGCTCACAGAAGGTGACGGGGAGGTAGTACAGACTCATAGTGTACGTAGGAAGGGATTGAGCCACACTCTTTAGCAAAACTTCTTTCCCGGCTCTAGATAATATTCTTTTCGACCAACCACCCAACCGTTGCTTAAGCTTAGCTTCTATAAAAGAGAAGACCTCATTACAATTTCTGCTAATACCCAAAGGGAGGCCCAAGTATTTACCAATACTTTCCGTTTCACTCACTCCAAGGGCGGATGCTACTGCAAATCTGTTAGGACTGTCAACATTTTTACTAAACACAATACAAGACTTTGTGTAATTTACCGTTTGGCCGAACATAGCTTCATAGGCCTGTAAACAATTACCAACCACATTCGCCTCATTAATGGAAGACTTAAAAAACAAGAGGCTGTCGTCCGCAAAAAAAAGGTGTGAAATGCCTGGAGCACCTCTTGCCACAATACAAGGAGATATATGGCCAGCACCAACAGATTTTGATATCAAATGAGACAAGCCTTCTGCACATAAAATGAAGAGGTAAGGGGAAAGAGGGTCTCCCTGACGCAAGCCTCCCGTAGGAGTGATGAAATCTGTGAGAGCCCCGTTCATATTAACCTTATAGCGGACAGTAGAGACGCATAACATTACCAGCTCGATCCACTGATGATGAAAACCCAGTTTCTCCATAATGACACGAAGGTAGTTCCACTCCATCTTGTCATACGCTTTTGCCATGTCGAGCTTTAGTGCACACCACCCTGCCTTACCTTCTCTTTTACGGTTTAAGTAATGGATAGCTTCAGAAGCAATAAGAACATTATCTGTTATCAACCGACCCGAGAGAAATGCGCTTTGAGTTTCAGATATAACTTTGTCGAGGACCTCTTTTAAACGATTCGCCACCATTTTTGCCAGAATTTTATAGGTGACATTACAAAGCGCGATCGGTCTCAAATCACCCATGTTTTCAGGTACAGCTTTCTTAGGGACCAGAGTTATGTAAGCATTGTTCATTCCTTCTGGTAATGTTCGCGAGTGGAGGCAATTAAGGACAAAACCCGTGATATCATTACCTATACTGCCCCAAAAGTGTTGAAAAAACCCCGGATTAAAACCGTCAGGTCCTGGTGATTTATCCGGGGCCATAGAGAAAATCGCTTCCTTTACTTCTTCAGGTGTGAAAGGCTGTAACAATCTTGTATTATCCTCATCATTTATTTTCGGATTCAGCGTATCAAGAGGAGTAGAAACAGTGGTACCTGCTGTGTGAAAGATGTTAGAATAATAATCTTTAGCCAAATCTATCAACGGGGTACCTTCTATCCAATCGCCGGTCTCATTTTTTAATCGCACAATAGTATTCTTCTTCTTCCGGGATGTCGCATATGAGTGAAAAAACTTTGTGTTTCGATCCCCTTGCGTCAACCAGTGTTGTTTGGCACGTTGACGCCAAAAGACGTTCTGTTGATTGCTTAAAAGGCGTATCTGGTTGTCCATGTCACGAACCATACTCAAAGAAGACTGGTTTGTGCGTCCCCTTAGCAGATTTATGCGCTTCTGGAGGGCTTCAATTTCACGTGAGAGGCGCTTTCCCAAATCTCCACCCCATCTTCGTAGCTTTTCACCACAGTAGTCTAGTCGACTAGGGATAGGGTCACCCGCAGAGTTAAGCCATGCGTCACGAATCTTAGATTACTGTGTTTGGTTCAAATTGAGGTATGTAATATAATCATATTTAGATTAGAGTTTTATATATATATATATATATATATATATATATATATATATATATATATATATATATATATATATATATATATATATATATATATATATATATATATATATATATATATATATATATATATATATATATATCCTTAACATATTTTCATATATTTTAACAAATTTAAAAATTAAAATAAATAAATAAGATAACAGTATCATTTTCTTTTTGAAAAGAGATAACAGTATCATATATAATTACATAATTTTAAAAATATTAACTACAATCTTGAACTTGAGAAGCAAAATTATTTTATATGCTAATATAAAATAATTTTGCTTCTCAAGTTCATATGTTAATTATTTAAAAATATATATATTTTATGTTATATATATAACATAAAATATATATGTTTTTAAATAATTAAAATTAAAATGGCAAAATTTATAAATATGCAAGGTTATCTTACATAACCTAAGAAAGAGAAGGGAATCACATTCCCTTCAAAATTCTATGTGGATGGAATGTTTCATTCCGGGAGAATGTTAAATTCCCTCAGATAATATGAACCAAACAATGTTTCATTCCGAGAAAATGTTAAATTTCCTCAGATAATATGAACCAAACAAAAGAATGTAAGCTCTCGAATGTCACATTATCTTGGTTATGTAATATAACCTGAACCAAACGCCCCCTTAGGGTTTGTTTGGTTCGTACATGAAAATCAAAATCAAAATGTTAATCAAATACTTAGTAATAATAATGAATTTTGGTGAAAGTATTTTGCATATTTGGTAGTAAGGTGGAATTAGAATGATTGGCAATATTGATATTTGATTGTGTATGAGTGTATGACCCTATAATGGGAATAAATATTTTAAAAATATAAAAACAAAAAAATAAGGCAATTGATCCTTAAGATGTGACATCCAAAGCATCAATATGAAAAAAAAAAAAATCAAAAGAAAAATCTAAAAGTACTAATCCAAACTCAAAATTTTGATTACCAATATGATAAAATGATACCTATTTTTAATTAGAGAATGAAATTTTTAATTGAAAGGATAATCAAATCTCATAATTGCGTTTTAAAAAATTATCAACCAAACACTAACTATGATTTTAATTCACATTCCTAGTGTGTAAACCCATGAACCAAACACACCCTTAATGTAATTTCTAAATATATCAATTTTACATATTAATGTAATATTAAATATTTTAAGAATTAGATTGAAAATAACTTTAATCAAATCTAGGTGAAATAAATTAAATGGAATGGAAGGAGTACAATTTTGATGAACATACCTTCTCCACGCAAGGTATATGCTGCATATATGGAGAAATGAATGGCTTTTTGACAAGCCTGATATCACCAGAAAAACACAGTATAACTAAAGAAAAAAAGGAATTCATGAGTAAACAAAAACAGGCATACTGGTGAACAAAATTTAGATGATTTAGAAGATGAAGATTGCAACATGGAGTCTGTCTAATCGAAAACAATGAAATATGATATCCCTTGTGTGATTTAAACATTGAACAGAAAAGCATGGAAGCTCAAATACTGAAAAGAAATTATCTCTTCCCACCGCCGCCTCCAAGTTTAGGACCCTTGCCAGCAGGGCCTTTGGGGAAGTTACCCTTAGTAGCTGTCTTTGCTTTGGCCACCACTTCTGCTTTCTTTGCCTTCTTTTCATCCTTGGTTTTCTTGATTCTCTCCTTGATTTCACTGGAAAGATTGAAAGGAACAAAACACAAAATCTGAGAATTGGCGGTGACAAACTTTTACGTATAAGGGAACGTGAATATATTGAGTTTAACATGCATACCGCAAGGCAGCTTCACGAGCAGCATCACGAACTTCTGGCTTTTCAGATCTTTTCTTCTGGATGACTTCCAGTGTGGCACCAACAATAGACCTTGAGTAGGGCTTCTTGGTAGTTCGGCGCCTCTTCTTTGCAGCTTCAGCAGCAATATCCTGTGAGTTATGAAAAAGAAAGATTCAGTAAGGGCAAAATTTGTTTTCCAAAAAAAAAAAAAAAAATTGATCAAAGCAAGGATGGTTATAAATGATGATCACCTTCTTATGTTGTTTACGGTAGACTGCTGTCCAGGTAAGTTTTGATGGCTTCAGGCGGTTGTGGAAGTATCTCTTGCATTTTGAGTTGGCAAAAAGGAAAACCTACAATGGCAGGATGAAAGTTATTAATTAATAATTACCACCAGCCTAAAATAAGGTGGTCCATAGAATCATTTTACTAATCAGCAACAAATAGTCATAACAGTTACCTGAGAATCAGACCGAATAAATCTGATGCCCCTCCCAGGATAGATTTTAGCACCACTGAAGCGGCAAAGCTCAGTCCTGATAAAACATTAGATAGGTGGCAGATGAGACTCATATGAGCATTCATTTAACAAAACAACTCATGTTTAGGGTGCAAAAAGGAGATGCTAAAAAGTTAGGGGCAGCAATGATGAACCCAAACACAATTTCAAACAAAGATAAAGACACCAAAGTGCAGATAAAAGTCATTCAAACGGTTTGCACAATATTTGTAAAGTTGCACCATGGGTTCAACTCTTAATTCCTTGGATCTGTAAGTGCAAATTCAGGGAGATGTTATCATATTGCACGTGAGACCTGATATAACCAAGGCATATAACTTTATAATTTCTAGCAATCTAGCCACAAACTGCACCACGGGGTTCCACTCTACAATGGCATATAACTTTATAATTTCTAGCCACAAACTGCACAACGGGGTGCCGGGACGCAGGGGCTCAGCTTCTAATCAATACAAAGCAAGTTTGCAGAATATAATATATTCAATTAAAGGCTTTGCTTTACAAATTAATTACTCCGTAGTTTATTCCAAGTAGTAACCTTGGTTGCATTGCATAGCATTCTTCTTCTTTTCTTTTTTTTTTTTTCCAGCAATTGGGTGTCCATACCCTGAGTCAATTTCAAGGGTGTATACTAAGCATCCCCCAATTACTTGGGAGGCCATGGTCTCCAGAAACAGACCTAACCAAACCCTAAATTCCAAGCTTTCTTTCAACCATGAACCATTACGCTATCCTTCATTTTGACTAAAGCATAAAATATTTCAATACGGCATTATAGAAGGCACAACCTTTCTTCATGCTAAGAAATTTCCTGTTTGCTAAACCGAATAATGTTTTTTATTTCCTTTACTGTAAGAAAGGATGCATTTGATGTTTGTGAAGCAACGACAAAGAGGGATAGTTTTATTACAAACATTTTTCAGAAAATGCGATTCAGAGAAAGAGAGAGAATCATACTTGAGAACCATGGTTGATTTAGCTGCTCCGCTGCGCTGTTGACGACTCCGCCACTCCCTATATCCTCTCTGCGGGTTTATTCAAAACCCTAGATTAGCTGACCAATTTAACAGCCTTGCATTACGGTGTCGTCTGTTCTTGTCCGTCTTTCGGGCCTTAGTCCAAGTTGGGCTTTGCGAACTTCGCCAAATGCCCAAACTTTTTTGTGCCATAATGTTCTTATTTACATTAAGACTTAATATCAGTTGAGACCTTTCAAATATAATGGCGTCGTTACACTTGGTCTTAAATTTTTAATTTAATTACATGTGGTCTTTCAACTTTCAAATTTAATTATTCATAATTTTTCAATTTTCAAGTTAATTACAAATAATCATTCAACTTTTAAATTTTTAACCATTCCTAGTCTTAATTTTGCTCTTAATTACTTAAACTAAATAAAGGATCATGGCTAGTTAAATTTTAAAATTGAGAACTATGAATGGTTAAATTGAAATTTTAGGACTAAGTGTGACGATGCTACTATACTACCCTTTAATAATACAAAATTCTCTAGCATGGTACTCCTAAGCCGTATATGCACGTTCATTTGGCTTGTAAGACGTGACAAAATCTGTCCAAAGCAAATAGAGTCAAGTGAGGCCTCACCACCAACGATAAGTGTGGATCGTGTGGGCACATTTATAGAAGATACGGAGCACATAATCCATAAATGTCCTAAAGCAGTGGCTCTCTTGGAAACTCTGATACCCAAGGTCATTGTTTAGAGTGATTCCAGTAGCATTGTTGAGAACTTCATGGTAGATAATATCCTCATAGCAAGCAGAAAGGAACTAAGCTATAGGGGAGTTTAAATTTGCATGTGTTCCCCGTGAGCAAAATACAGTAGCGGACCTGCTTTCGCGGATTGCAAAAGACCGTTCGCGTGGCATCACAATATTTGAGCAACCTCCTGATGAGATCTAGGAAGCCTGGGAGGATGATCTACTGGGAGTCCCAGCATGGCGCCAAATGGAAGATGTAGAGTAGCTTATTGTTCCCCTGTGGGTATTCCCTTCCTCTTGATCCAAAAAAATTAATTAATTAAAATTTTTTTTTAAAATAATCTTAGAAGGCATTTTGGAATATAGAATCATAATTGGAATCAAATAATGTTATAATGGACTAAGTGTAATTGTAATGAGTTAAAGTGAAAAAACAAAAAATCTCTTTAGTAATAAATAAGAATTAGAATCAAAATAAATAAATAAATAAATATATAAAATATATAATTCACACACACAAGTTTTTGAAACATGAAAAAATGACTTATTTTTGTCTTTATTTTTTATTTTATTGTTCAAAAATATGAGAAAGAAAGGGTAATAAATCTTATAATTATTAATCGATTTGAATCCAAGAGTAGAATAGCAAAATTAGACAAGCAAACATGATAATAAGTATCAAATATGATAGTAGGATACAAAAGTCACATACCAAATGCCACCTTAATTGATTTAAATGTAATATTAATCACAAGAATAGCGTTTAGTGCTTCTTCTTCTTTTTTTTTCTTTTTTTTTTTTTTAAATAATTATAGTGTTTGGTGCTTTGTTTCACCAAATTAATATTGTCTGAAAAAAGATGATCCATCCACTTAACCACCTTTTCATGGCAAAATGATAACATCAAAATATTTGGTGAAACTTTTTATAAAACTTTTGATCTATCTAGAAAGGTCATAATCACCTTTATACCTAGTACAAGTATGCAAAAAGCTATGGACTTTTGCATTTGAGCACCAGAATTGAACATAAACAGAGGCAATTGGCCTATTGTTAAATGCCAAAAGACAGACAAAGATGATCAGCATTTCTTCAAGATGGGAGCAGAAGTGCAGCAGAGGCCAAAGCTTCACTGATTCACATAACAGTACAACACCCTTGTGCAACTATGTTGCCTGATAATCTAAGTTTGGCCAATTTAGAAAGGTTGCATGTCCTGGCACATACATGAGTTTCTAATTACTACTAAGAAATGCTTGAAATTTCTAATTACTACTGCAATGGTGTTTTCTCATGCTGCCTTTGCAGTCTCCCGAGCCAATGCAAGTTTGGCTAGCAGACCGCATAGCTGAAGATACGATCCCACTCCATCGCAGATCCTCATATGTGCAAATCCAGTTTCCTGCAGCCCCATTACAGAGGACATTAATGGTGCTAGGTAGAATACAATGGATAGCGGATTATTAGTTTATCTATGAAATGCAAACCTTCATGAATTCCAATTTCAGGTATTCTGCCATATCATAGTTCTTTATAATCCGGAAAAGGGTTGTGATAATGTCAGTGGGAGAATAGCCCATATCATAGAGCGCCTTTAAACCCACACAAGCATCGTCAAATTTCCCTTCAAGTACATTGCGTACAATATTCTTCACGTGAAGGGGATGGGGTTGGTCACATACCTGCAATTCTTCCAGAATAGTAATTCTTAGAAATTACGAAATGATGGTCCCAGAATTAGTGAAAAATATTGCATGTATAATGAATTCCGATAGAATTATAATACTAACAGGTATTTATACTAAATTACGGCACACAATATTGAAACTATATATCTTTCCATTTAAGATTCCTGAACTACTAGGAAAGTAGGGCAATCAAGTAAGTCCTAAATACCTCCAACACTTCTATAACTTGACTCTTGAGAATAAGCAACTGTCCTAATCTAAAATTTAGGGATATTTCTAAGTATTCTAGCAATAGAAAACAAATGAAAAGTGTAAAAATAATAATAATAATAACAATAACAATAACAATAACAATAACAATAACAATAACAATAACAAACAATAACAATAACAATAACAATAACAATAACAATAATAATAATAATAATAATAATAATAATAATAATAATAATAATAATAATGAAAAGCTAGAATAAGTATACTTGGAATTCTTAATTGCTATTGTTGATGTGTCTCAGTCTAACCTTGAAAACATTTTCTTGGTTGATGAACCCGAATCCACTGTATGTCGCTTGCAGGTTATTTAAAGCCTGTCTCATATCTCCATCAGCAGTAAATATAATTGCCTCAAGACCTTCTGGTACATAAGGAACCTGCAAAAGATGAAACATCCTTGAACAACATATTTCTATCCCTTTTCACAATATAGCTATTCTCAACCGTATTCAAGAAGTCATGCACAGCATAATAAGGCATGAGACCAAATTCCAATGGAAACGCAATTTAAATGTAGCTTCAGAAAACGATGTACCTTTTCTGCAGCAACCACTACCATAAGTCGTCCAAGGATCTCTTGATCAGATAATCTGCCAAACCGGACTAGGGCACATCTACTCTGGATAGGCTCAATGACTTTAGAAGAAGTGTTGCAGGCAAGACCAAAGCGAGTAGAGTTAGAATATATTTCCATCGTCCTCCTTAAGGCTTGTTGAGCTCCAGTTGTCATGCTAATAGGTATTCAAAATGACAATAAATTTTCATCACCACATATAAACAAGAGGATGACTATCAAGACAGAAAGAAAATCTGTTTCCAATTGGCCATATGAATGAATCAAGTTGATGAAAATCACACAAAAGCACGTATGTTTCCAGGTATCTGGAACCAAGAATCACTAACCTGTCAGCTTCATCCAAAATTATAATCTTATGGCGGCCAGGGGGAAGCGTGACTTTCTTTTGAGCAAACATCTTAATCTTGTTTCTAACGACATCAATCCCCCTGGACAAGAAACATAAAAAGTGATCAACATGTTACTGTCACTGCCTCAAAAATAACAATACCCAAAGAGAGAAATTGAGCTAAAAACTATAATTATCTTACCTATCATCTGATGCATTTAGCTCCAGAACTGCTTCCTTCAAATTTGGCCCCAGAAGTTCATGAGCAAGAGCAAGTATACTGGTAGTTTTACCAGTGCCAGGAGGACCCTGAAGAACATTTTCCAATAATGAGTAAGAAAGATGAAATAAACTAAACCAACAAACTGAACCCGCCGATTCAATTTGTGAGCAATTTCTTTCTTCTTTCACCATATATGTATGAATTGAAATTTGCTTCTTTTGCATAATCCTGGTTAAACTATTTTCAACAAACTTCCAAAAATCCTAAATGAAAACAGATTTTGGGAACTTTAAGTCTTTAACAAGATACTTCCAGTTTTTATGACCTATCTACTCAATTTATCATTGCACTTGAAGAGCTGAGTTCTAAATCAGGTTCGACTATAAATACAAGGAGTAAAAGCCCACTTCTTTCCAAAATTCCACCATCACGTTATGAGTTCAAATCCTCGGGTAAGCAGGCAATTGAAAACTTCACCAAAAGAAAAAAACGAAAAACCATAAAATTTACAGCTTAGCATTTAGCAATCTATGGTAGGTACTCTCGTTTTTTAGACTCTGAACCAAAACACAAATCAAAGAAATTGAGAGAATGCATAAATGAAAGTAGCGTAACATGGGTCCATGTCTATCGCATCATTGCTTACAGCTAAAATGAGATTGGGCATGTTTCCGTCACGGGCGATGACTTGGAGCCTGGCGACGGCGTCTTCGTTGCCGACGATGTCGGCCACCTTGGTGGGCCTGTACTTCTCGACCCATGGGATGTCAGGGCCTGACGCAACAGAAGAAGATGACGCCATGGATGGTTGGGTTGAAAGAATGGCTGTTATGCGATCCCTAGAGCTTTGAAGCGAAAACCCTCCCCAAATTCTTCAATTTGGAGGGAAACAACGAAGCTTATAGAGTTACTAGTTTTTTTAAATGAGATAATGCCCAATAATTATTTTTAAATAAGTATTTCAAAGTATATCAATGCAATATTATATAGGAGATGTTCATGCATAGGTAAATATAAATGTTGAATTTGTTTATTTAAATCGGTAATTTAAAGTATATAAATGCAAGATAATATATGAGAGATTGATTATAATTGTCACTAAAATAAATGTTTGCAACTTTGTAATAACGCTAGTTTAAATACGTAGTCTTAAAGCGATAATCTAAATAAATACTACTTTTGATTTAAATTTCTCTAATTCTTCTTGATTCTCGTTTGGGTAGCATTTGTTTTTGTTTTCATCTTTAGTACATGTCCTCTTTTTCTTTTTTCTTTTTTTTTATTGGTAGTGTGTCATGTGCAATTAGGTTACTGGTATAAGCATAGAGGGAATCATCATGCAATAAGATTATGGTGTACGAAGTTTTAGATTTGTCTTGCTGTGTATATGGCTGAGATTTTATTTGTAATATGAACTCTTAAGCGTACAAACACTTATTGATATTTAGTAGTGGTAGTTTTTTTCCTAAATGTTTCATGTGTTGTGAGATGTGTGTCGTAGGTTATCATCTGAAAGTATTGAACAAAATATTAATATTTATTATATTTGTATAATAAAATCCTTGATAAATAAATAAATAAATAAATAAATAAATAAATAAATAAATATATATATATATATATATATATATATATATATATATATATATATATATATATATATATATATATATAACATGTTTTGTATTATAACTTTGATATTTAATTACAAGATAATATAAAAAAGAATACAATGAACAATGTAGTGAATATAATAAATTAATAAATTTGAAGGTAAGGAATCTTTGAATTGTAGAAAATAAAGATAATATAACTAATGAAATTATATTTCTTTTAAGTTTTTTTTATAATGAATAATTTTTTAAAAAATAAAGCATTATAAAAATCTAATTCTAAATTAATTAAATGCCGCATATGTATTATTTTTTGTTGTAACTACTAATTTATTTAATTAATAAGAGTATAAAGTGTCATACATATTTTTCTTCAACAATAATGAAATCAATGATTATTTTTAATTTCCATTCCTTGTTGAGACAAATTGTTTTGAGAGTTTGTCCATGACAATTGCTACAATTACTGTCAATAGAGGATGATAATAAATAATTCAAAATATATAGTTACAATAGATATTAATATAATGATATAGTAAAAAATTAACTTACAAATTTCTTTAGAAGTTTTCATGCATTGATAAAATTTTGATGTGTAAACTTGTTCAATTGAAGCTAGTAGGATGTTAACATTGTCAATTATTTGGAAAATGATTCTATCGTTTTAGAGTCCATGTGTAATTGTATTTATGATCAACAAATTTGTAGTTAGGCCACGCAGGACGCAGGTCTGACAATAATGTAAGAACAATTTTGTCTGATAAAAAAATAATAGTATAATATTTGTAAAGTAATGTACAATTGTACCATTATAAAAAAAAATACAAAAAATATTAATACCATAATAGTCTAAATCATTCCAATCATGCAAAAGCATAATTAAAATATTAAGTTTTGTTCTAAATAATCAGAAGAAGATTAATTAAAAAAAACTTAACCTAAATTTCTTTTCTTTTTTTTTAAAAAAAAAATAAAAAATTCAAGAAAATCAAATGATTTTAAAGTAGTTCCTGATTTATAATCTTTGAATGCTATGTATTTAGTCGAGCTAATTATTTGACCAAAGTTTATGTTAAATTTTATATTATATATATATTTTTTAATACATTTTAACATATTCATAATTCATAATATATGTTTAACAATTATGCCAACTATACTTGGGATGATGTTCGAACCTAAGACCTTATATAAATTAAGAGTATGTTAAGAATAATAAATAGTTAACGGAATATTCTGTTACTAAAGTTTAAACTAACGGAATTTAGGGTTATTTAAGGGAAGAAAATAATATAATAGAGGGTAAATAAAGAAAATCATTAAAAGATATTAAAATCAAAATAATATGAACCATTCATTTTAAGAAACAATTAGTACCGACATTTTTTTTTCCAGTGGTGAAAGTAAGTCGTGCAATTTACTCATTATGGGGCTTGTTTGGTTATCAGCTGGTGGTTAGCGGTAGCGAGATGTGTTAGTGGTTATCAGATAACGGATTATATTAGCGTGTTTGATCAACAGATTGTATTAGTGATTTATAAAAAAATATTTGATAAAATTAACTGTTTAAATTAGCAGTTAACATATAAAATGACTTATATACCCTTATAATAATTAATAATAATAATAATAATAATTTTTTTTTTAAAAAAGAAGGGAGCAGCGCAAGCTACTCCCCTCTTGCTCTTGTATTCCCACTTTTCCCACCGTCCATCGGTGGGAAAAGAGGGAATGGAGCCTTGAGGCTCCTCAAGGCTCCACAAATTCATTCGTTGCCCATATGGGATGGGCAACATTGAGGAGCCGTTTTGGCTCCTCAAATTGAAGAGCCATTTCTCAAAAAAGAGTTTTATAGTTTTTTTTAATTATATATAAACAAGGGCGTTTTGAGAAAAATTTAATTTTTCTCAAAAGAAGCAACACAGCTGCCAGCTATCTTCACCCACTAACCAAATCACCATCGTCTTCTCTACCTCACGTCAGCAGCAAACCAATAACAAAAAAACCCAGTTTTATTATTTTTCTTTCTTTCTTCCGAACGCAGCACTCACCATCTACCTTCATTTTTGTCGTTCTCTTTTTGCGTGGAACTAATAGAGAAGAGAGAGAGAGAGCTTTGATGAAGATGATGTTGATGGCGACAAAGCTATGACGTGGAAGAGGATGGTAGAGCGTGATGACAATGATGATGGAGGTTTGTTGTTGATGATGAAACTGGAATCAGCGAACATTTAGACCTATGACTCTCTGTTTTTGGCTTCCATTTCCTGCAAATTTGTATCAACTGTGAGGGAGAAGTCTAGCTTGTGCATTCGGCACGGTGGTGGCAAGAGGTGCAAGATGGATAATTGCACCAAAAGTGCTGAAGGAATCTCTGGACTCTGCATCTCACATGGTGGTGCCCGCCATTCTGTATCCTTGAGTCTAAAACCTTCTTTCATTTTGTGAGTTCATTAATTCATAATAAACATCTAATGCAAATTAGTCTCAAAATGTTGAATTCAAGATAAATATAATAGCCAAGGTTTGATGAAAGTGATCATTTAAACTTGTTAATTTCATCTTTTGAACACTGTATTAAGTTTCTTCTGTTTGCCCTTTTTTCTTTTTTGGCAATGGTAGCAAGATACTGTTTTCCATCAGATCCTTGGTTTCATATTCCTTGTCATATGTGTGTCCAAGCTAGTTATAGTTTTTCAAATATCAGTGAGAGAAATTAGTGTGGTGCTGATGCTTTGAAGTTCAAATCGAAGCCATAGTTATGGTGATGACTACATGCATAAATCAACCGGAATACCGCTCCATCGCTTTGTCGTTGGCTGTCAATGGTGCGCTGGTGACAATGATTCGACGCGTGGACTGCTTCCTTCTCCCGGTGCTATGGTTGCTTCTCGGTTAGGCGGTGGTAGCTCCCATGGCCGACAGTCCAGGCGTTGCAGCAGGGGGCAGCATCGCGGGGAGAGGATAGACTGGTCGACACAATCTTCTTTGTAATTGGAGTAGTTTTTTTTTTAATTAATTAAAAATGCTTAATGGACAGAGAAATAAGGCCACGTCAGCTTATTACCGTGCCATGTCATCAGGATTACCGGAAAAATCTATAAAAAGTCCTAGGCGAAAAAAAAATGATTTATGGATCTAAATATCACTTATTAATGGTGTGGGATGACACTTTAGCCAATGAATTGCTATCGTAATTTAGTTGTATGAGATATATATATATATATATATATTTTTGTCTAGATCTATAGCAATTTTGTCATTTAAAAAAAACATAATATCAATGATCGTATTTACACATTATTGAACATCTTTGTAGACGACATTGGTAGTAACAACACAATATTGTCCATCATCGTCTATAGCTAACCCTTCAGTTCATCAGGATGGATGAGTCGGGTGAAAATATATAATGGTAGAATATTAGTCAATTAGCAATCCTTTTATATTTTAAGTCAATTAGTAATATCAGATTCATTTTCAGCCAATTATTCTTTTTTATTTTTAGTCAATTAGAATATCATATGTAGTGATATTTGTCCCTAATTTCTGTTCCATTTTTAATTGATGGATGTATAATATTATTATTGAAATATTTTCGTTCCATTTTTAATTTACCTATACTATTGTTTAAAATATGTATTTACTATTTATTATGTAGAATATTGCTATTGAAATATTTTCGTCCAATTTTAGTTTCCATTCCATTTTTAATTAAAATGCAATGATCTAACCATTTTTTTTTTCATATTAGTCAATTATGGATCATTTTTATTTGTAGTCAACTATTAATATTTATTTTCTTTTATATTTTTAGTCAATTACTAATATCATATTCATTTTCAGCCATTTTTTTTATTTTCAGTCAATTAGTCAATTAGAATATCAGATGCAGTGATAGTTTTACCCAATTTTCATCCATTTGTAATTGATGATAGAATATTATTATTAAAATATTTTCATTTCATTTTTATTTTTCGTTACATTTTTTATTTACCTTTACTATTATTTTAAATATGTCTTTCCTATTCATGATGTAGAATATTATTATTGAAATATTTCATTTTCGTTTTTAATTTACCTTTATTTGATGATGTAGAATATTATTATTGAAATATTTTCGTTCTATTTTTAATTTTTTCGTTCTATTGTTTAAAATTGTGAAAGATTTATGACATAATTGTGATTTAATGTATTATACTGTGTAATATTATTGTGAAAAATTAAAATCCAATGATCTGACCATTTTCTTTTCCATTTTAGTTAATTGTGGATCATTTTTTTTAATTTTCAGT